AAAACATTCTATAGAGCCTAAGCAGACCTTCAAAGCATCCAATACATGACATTCCTGGTATAATGGACATTATACAAAAATATAGGAAAAATACAAACCTTACCTAAACATCATTGCATATCAGCATGCAGTTACAGGAAAGGCACCAAAGTGTTTATGTCCAGTAGCCACAGAAGCTCCAGGGGAGATGGCCAAAGAAGACATGGGATCACATGAAAACACACAAGAGTCACAGCCACCCCCTATTCAGGCATTTAAAGATATGCCAACTACCTTGTCCAGTTCCATCAAAGGGAATTAGAAGTGTCTGATGAACTACTGATGTGGATACCCTTCATGTTTGAAGCTGCTGCTGCTGCTTTCAGGATTGGCCGGTGTGTGCACAGTTCACTGAAAGACCGAGAGAGGACTAGCCCCCTTCTGTGACCTCACCAGATGGGCTTGGGCAGCCCTCTTCTGTATTCCCATAATGCCATGTTCCTCTCTCCACCATAGCACTAACCCACTGCATTCTAAAACCTCTCTGCCTCTCGCTAACCTCCGCTATCATAACGCCTGCTTTTGTATGTCTCCATCCTCAGTTGAGATCAGGCCTTATTCATCTTACCTGCCCAGCTTATCTAACCCCAGGCCTCTCTTAGAGCAGAAGCCCCCTCCTCCAACGTGTGCTGAGCATTTGCTGCAAAAATGAACGATGCATTTATGCAATGTTGTCCGATTGTACACAGAGGAGGCCGCCCTTTTCACTCTCAGCGGCAGCCACTGTTTCCAGTGCTCTGTATCTTCAGCGAACACCACACCCCGGTGTAGCCCTTCAGTTTCTGAAATCACATCTGTCCCGGCTGCTGCTCCTTCTGCAAACGGGAGTGGAAGCTCTAGTTTGTGCTTCTGGTGTTTCTTCTGCCTCTCCTGGAAGGTCCTCCCACCTCCCTCTCCCAGGCCACGTACAGCAGCTGCCTGTCCAACCTGCTGGTGTGCCTGCCAATTTCACAGCCACTGTGCCCAGCCCAGCAAAGCTGTGTTAGAGCTAACATCAAGGCGGGCACACTGGCTGTATGCCAGGCCCTCGCTGTTAGGAAGCCTGTATTGTCATATAATGTTAAATGGGCCTTATAAGTGCCTGGTGAAATGGCTCCCGGAGCCAGACATGCCTTCTAACAAGCAGGCATTGTTGCTTCACTGTTTTTACCTGTGCATGCTATCTTACCTCCTCCTCCAGGTCAGGAATGTACGGGGCTGTGTTGGAATACCTCCTGGTAAATCTGCGAAACACCTAGCAGAGTGCTCTGAGCACAGTAAGCTTTCAATGAATAAATAGTCCTCCATTTGAGAACCACCACACCCACCCATCCACATTTCCCAGCCCCAGGCTCACAGGCACAGGTGCCTCCACAGGCAATCTTCCTGTTAGGTCCACAGAGCAAATCTCTGGGAAGAAACACCTTTCCCCAAATTTGCAGATGAAGATCATCCCACTTGCAATGGGCGACGCCGGAACCCAACGTAGGGTTCTCTCCCCTCCACGATGCTGCTTGAAAAAGACTTGTTGCATGAGTAAATAAGCAGAAGCAAGACTCTCCCTGAGCACAGCCATGCTCTGCTCCCGGGTCACAACAAAGATGATTTCACTCAACCAGACCCCTGAGGAAACGATGATTAGGTTTTTGGACTTTTACCCATGATGTATGATGCCTGCTGCCAGGGGGTCCGTGTTCAGTGACAGCTTTCCCAGGGCACTGGCAAAATTAGTTGGTGCCAATCATTTCAAGACTTAAAAAAATGTTCTCCATTACTAAGAAGGAACAACAACAACAAAACAAGAGCAGGCCGCCTCCAGGGAAGAAACCTTTCCAAGAAAACCTTGAAGATGGACCGCTTTTCCAACTGTCTTCTCTATCAGCAAGCCTAAGAACTTGTCATGGGAAACTACAGCGCGGAAAGAGGGCCTGGTTTTTGTTTTTGTAAAATTACCCCTTGCAACCTCCTGTGAGCAGTGTATGTGCTGCCTTTCGAAATGTGCAGCAGGCCTCGCTTCAGGTCTGGCTTTGCCATTTCTCAAAACTAAAAAGGGAAAAATATATATCTTTGGAGAATTTCGGCCTCAACAGGAGCAATTTAAAAGTCTGAAAGTAGGCTTTTTACATACGTACTGACTTTGACGTTCCTCATCAAATAAGATGCAGTCCAGAAAGGTCTGCACTGAGCTGGAAATGCCAAGGTCAAATGAAAGGAGTCAATCCCTTCATCAAAGGGAGGGCTTTTTTTTTTTTTTTTTTTTTTTTTTTTTTTTTTTTTTTTTTTTTTTTTTTTTTTTCCCTGCAAAGAAACACAAGCTTTCCCCAGCCTCTGCACATGGAAGTCTGCCCAGCTCACCTTAATGTCCACATGAGGCTTCCTACCTGGGAACAACAGATTATCTCTGCAGCTATAAAATTCAGCATTCCACAGGGAGGACTCTATAATCTGCACTTTAGGTCACTAACCCCACAAAATTTCAGTTCCACCGAACAAATTCCAGAGGATTACTGAGGGAAATGTGAGGCTCACAATCTTTGTTCTATGAGTCAAAACCCTAACCTGCCTTAGATTTTATGTTACAAGTACCCTCCCCCCACCACCCCTCAAAAAGAAGCTGGCAGTCTAACAAAATTAAAAAGAGACTCCCTCCAATTTTCCCAGATGGAGGCAAGCGGCAGATCCACGTACAGCTCAAGAAGAGGAATTTAAATATTAAATACAGTAGGTGCTTCTCCTTTCAAAAAAGGAGAGAAGCCACTTCACATTTTGCCAGACAAAACCCTGTCCCCAGGAGGCCAGTTTCCACAATGAGGCTGCAAAGGTGTTAGAAAGAGGCCAGTTGGGAGGAGATAAAGGGCCATTTGGGCACAAACCCCCCACTGATCAGGGCTTTTTTCCTAGAGTGTCTCCTTTTCAACAGAGAAGCCTTTTAAAACTACATTTGCTTTGGATCTCTACCTAAATGACAATGTGTTAGGATCCGATTTCACCTTTTGTCAAGGATCGGGTGAGAAACAGTAAAACTGCTGTCAGCATCTTAGAGAAAGCAAGCCCTTAGCTTATATGGGGAAGGGGGTAAAAAAATAATCCTAGGGTTCCCTTGTCCAGCCCCAGTTACGGGCTGAAGGTGACAAATGCCTATTGATCTTATAAGCACAGTCCAACACAGCAACATATGAAATGTCCTTCATTAAAAGAGGTGCCTCCATGCAAAAAAATAAAATAAAAAAAAATAAATGCAATTGTTTGTGCTCTAAATGGAAACATTCACCAGTGTTCCTCCTAACATTTTAGTTCTATTTCCTCTGACAGACACTTCACTCCTAAGAACTCTGTCAACAATCACCAGAGATCACAAAATGTCTGTGGAAGAAAATTATAACTAAACCTGAACCTGAAAGTTCTGCATAGAAAAGGACAGTTCAGTGGGTAACTTAAAAGCTTGTCTGTTACTACGCAAATGAAGAACCAGACTCCATTGCACTTCCAGGGCTGCTGTCTGCAAAGATACACTGTACAGAATTCTCGTTCAGCAAACCAACCACTCTTCAACCTCACCTAACTGTTAACCAACATTTAATAGTAATTCTAATTGTCTTTCTAAAGTGTAAAAGGTCTGCAGAACTTGCTTTGGGAAAACTGCATCATCCTGGGAGGAGAGTGGGGAGGTTGCAGGGAAGAGGGTTAAAAAAAAAAGGCGTCAGAAACCTGAGTCCTACCAAAGCTACACAAAACCCCGCCTTAAGTGGCTCAAAACACCTCTCCCTCCTGGTGGGAGGTGGACTGGAGGTCGCCCCGTAAAATCGAATCCTGAAACCTATTCCAAGAGCACATTCCTGGAAACTTCGTTCTTTCGAAGACCGAGGTCGTCACCATTGTTGTTGTGAGAAGGCATAAGAGGCTGTTTTCCTGAAGAACTGTGAGAGCAAAGGTTCCAGACTCCCAATGCCATCTCAGCCTCGCCTCATCTGGGGGGGGGGGGGGGGGGGGATGTTCCCAGCCCCGCCTTAGGCTAAAACAACAGCGGGACTCCATCTCCAGGTGGTTGCTGTGCAGCAGTGTTGACTGCTGCTGTGTGGTTGGCTATTCGAAACATCGCCAGGATTCCTCAATAGACCCCCCTCATTCTTTGGGAAACCCCCTTCCCCTCCCGAGGAACAGCACGGTCCACAAACCAGAAAGATAGGAACCTCACTCACTGTGTTCCCACTCCTCACCCCCACCAAGAGGCAGGTACAAAACAAAACAAAAATCGTACAGCGGGCAGCACGCAACGGACAACAGCAATAGCAACAGAAGTCTCCTCCACAGGACAAGAGTGGGGAATCCGCCAGGAATCTACCAAGCCGACCCCTCCCCCAGGGCACCCGGGCAGGGACGGGGGAGCTGGGAGCCTCTCAGAGCCTCTCTCCGCAGGGACCCAGGTGGCCAGGAGCCGCTGCGGTGCCTCCCCCGCCGGTGCCTCCCCTCCCCGCGCCCGTGACTGCGCGCGGGAGGAGTGGACACCAGGAGGTGGTCAAGGGGTGAGGTTGGGGGCCTCGGAAAATCATCCCAGCCGGGCGGGGGCCGTCAGCCTCGGGATGGGTACACAAAGAGGGAAGGGAAGTTTGCAGGGGCGCAGACCGAGAGGAGAGCCCTGCACATTTAGGGAAGGAGGTACGAGGGGGAACCGGAGAGTCCCTGCGGAGATAAAAGAGCCGGGTGGGAGGGAAAGTGGGTCCCGTGCACAGGGCCAGGGCTTCTGCAGAGGAAAAAGGGGCAGGAGTACCTGAGTGCCAGGAAGAGTAGGTGTGCATAGAGGCGTGGGGGGGGACCCTGTGCGGAGAACGGAGGTATCTGGTGGAAGGGGGTGGGGGGCTGTGCGTGCCAGAGAGGTTGGTGTACGGTCAAGGGGGGACCTGCACTGGGGAAGGGGCTCTGCGCAGGAGACGCAGAATGCCTGGCAAGTTTAGGGGCGCCATGGGGAAATGGGGCGCGCTTACCTGCATGGTGACGACCCCCAGCTCCTCCGCCGCTAGCCTCCGCATCTGGCTGGCCAGCACTTGCGCCTCGTCCAGGATGGAGAAGTCGGCGTGGGCCACGGCGCCCAGCAGCCAGCAGGCGACCACGCACCGCAGCCAGAGGGGCGGCCGCCGCGCTCCTCCAGCCCCGGCCCGGCCCAGAGAGCCCCGGCAGCCGCGGGCCAGGGCGGCCGCCCCCGCCGGCTCCTCTTCCTCCGGCTCGCGGGCCATCAATGGGCGCCGGGCGCCGGGCAGAGAGGAGAGAGCCTCGGGAGGCGCGCCCGGGGCCCTCTCGGCGCACCCCGCAAAACTTTCTTCCCCGGGTCCGGCGGCTCCCAAACTTAGGGGGCGCCCGGCTCCGGCGCGGGCGCGCGGGCGGCCACCATCGGCAGCTCCGGGGCGGCGGGCGGGGGAGGAAGCGGCCCCCAGTGGTCCCCGGGACACGGGGGCGGCCCCACGGCCAAAGCTGTGGCTGCGGCGTCCGGAGGATCGGCGGCGCCTGACCCCCGGGCGCGGGCCGTGCAGCCGCGGGGCTGACAGTGGAGCTTTCGCTTCCCGGAGTCCGGGCGCAGGAGGGCGGCAGCGGCCGGCAGCACCCGGCGGAGGCGGAGCGGCGATCGGGCTGCTGGGCCAGGGCAGCCACCGAGCCCGGGAGAAGGGAGACGGGGAGGTTCGAAGAAAAAGAAAAAGAAGACGGAAAAGAAAGAAAGAAAGCGGCGGGGGGAAAAGGGAGGTGTCTGGTGCCACCACGCTGCGCTCCGGCTCCGTGCACTTCCCGGCTCCGCCGCTGCCGCCACCGAGACTGCGGTGATTTATGGAAGGAGCAAGAGAGGCGGGGAAATTCCCCCGGTCGCCCCTCCTCTCTTCGCCTCACTCCCGCCCCAGAACTGGCCCCTGGAGACGCCAGAGGCTAGAGAAAAGGCTCTCTTCCCGGGTACCAGCTCCGCCAGGGCTGGGTCACTTGGACCCTCTGGTTGCCGGGCACTGCGACCCACCCCAACTCTCCCCGTCTCTGCCAACGCCAGGGACTCCAGGATCCTACCCGTTCAAGGTTCCCCCATCCCCAAATCCCTTTAAGTTCCAGGACTGTCTGCCGGCAGAGCTTTGGGAAGGAGGGGACTGCTGTGTATGCGTCCTCTGCTTTGCTTCCAGTCAATAACAATAGCTAGCACTGGTTGCATCAACAGATTTCTCTCTCTCTCTCTTTTTTTTATCAGCTACTTTGTGCCCTGCAATGTGCTCTAGGGTTTGTAACAGTATCCTTTAATCCCCACCGCATCCCTAGGAGGTACAGTATCTTTATCCCAAATTTTTAGGTAACAAAGGCTGAGGCTTAGAGAGGTGGGGTGCATTGCCAGAAGATCACCCAGGGAATGAGAGGCAGAGCCAGAACTGAAGCACAAGTCTCACTCCCAGGCTCTTCCTCTTATAGATGACATCGTTCTTCCAGGCTCTTTGAAAATGAACCATCTGATCCCATCAAAAGCAGAGACAAAACAAAACAAAAAACCGCCAACACTGCTGAACCTGAACTAGAGCTTGCCCCCCACACACTTATGTCTCTGTTGCTTGGGAGGCAAGAAAGGTTAACCTTCCTGTTTCCCCCTGATGCCTGGCTGAGCCTCTCTGGGGGTTATTAAAGCTGCGGCTCTTCCTTCCAGACTGTTGAGCTTGCAGCTTATGGGTTCCTGGAACACAGAGCCATGCCCAGGAAGATGAGAGCTCCCGAGAGGGGTGTGGGAACAGGACTAGAACCTGGAGGTAGTGCTCTCTTCCCTTGACAGCAAAACCTTCTGTCTTACATCTTTGACTAGATTGTGTTACAGACACACCTCCTGTAAGCCTTCCCTGGTCCATTTTGCCTGGTTGGTTGTGTCTGTCATCTGAATTCCCAAATCAGTATTGTCTGTGCTTTGTACTCTGTTTCCTTTTGGTGGCACTTTCCACTCTGTGCCTAGAGAGAGGCAAATCAGACTCTTGTACAAGATCATTTTATATCTGCCATGTTTGCTTTAACATTACTCACACATAACAGAACTAGGATAAGCCTGTTTGGGGCAGGGACCAATCAGTCACTCCACCATCCACACTTAGTTCAGGTGCTGTAAACATGATTCTTGAATTAATAATAGGATAAAAAATATATATGTTGCCTTCGGACCCCAGAGTTGAATTGACATTTGGTAGAAAGATGATCCTATAACTTCTGTTTTTTATTGTCATACCATTGCACATGATAGTGAATCTATCCGTGAAGCAAAGAAGATTAGCCAGATGGCAAGTGGAAGAGAAACAAAACAAAAATAATAATGTCATCCAGCACTATTAACTTTTTGTATTGGATTCTTCAAGGTCATTGTTGCCAGAGTTGTCACATATCGCTAAGCTATCCTTCTGAAACTCCTTTGGCTTCTCCTTTTTTGACAATTTTTTATTTTTGTATACTGTTACTATGAGGGGACCCATTTTGAAGGATTTTAACTCTATGTTCTTTTTTTTTTTTTTTTATCACCATTGGGTTATAAAATGCCTTCAATTATTACCAAGACATCAAACTTTTTGCAAACTTCTAAACAAAGCTCAGTCTCCCTTTGGAGCTAGAATGAACTTACTGACTTCTCTACTAGATATACCTGAACTAAAATTCATTCCTGTTTTTTCCTACTCTCCACCTAAATCTGCATCTGGCTGCAAACGGGGTGGGTGTCATCCTTTTCCAGCCCCGTGCTTCACTCCCTACACACGCTCCTGCTCTCTCTCATTTCCATCCCTTTCTCCATCTGCATCCCCTCAGCGAACATCACAGTTCACATTCTCCTCTCAGGTCTCCATGCCATCCATCTCACTGCCAACATTCTATTCTCCACACTGAAACCAAAGTCACCTTTCTAAAAGTAAAGTCTGAACCTGTCTCCCACTAACCTAAACATTTCTGATGCCCCGTCTCAGAGAAATGAACTTACAATAAATAAGGCTCTCTGTGCTCTGGCTTATCTGCCTTGCTGGCCTTATGGAAGTTACTCTGCCCCCAAATCCTCACCAGCCCCCAGAAAACACCTTTGCTGGTGGCCTTGAATGCCCTCCCCTTCTCTGAACCTGGTAAGTTCCTACTGAGCTGGGAGTCACCTCTGGGAAGCCTTCTCGCACTGTCCCCCTAGTATTTGTTGCCCCTCCTCCAGTGCTCTGTAGCTCTTGATTCTTCTCACTGCAGTAATGTCCCCCAGCAGTTAATAAGCGGTATTGTGATTATTTGAAAGTCTTGTTCTTTCCTCCCTAATAATCCTTGACCACAGGTAGCTTTAGATTGCACCTACTGCACTGCAAATCCTGTACTTCAACCCAAGTCTGCCAGAACAGAATCTCTGGAGGTGGGCGAGGTCCCAGATATGCACTTTACAGACCCCTCCCTCCCCCCCCCCCCCAGCTACCCAGATGAGTCTCCTGAACCATGTTAGACTGCAAACAAGCTCCCCAGATGGTTACCCATTCATCTGGGAGCTCTAGCGTTTTCGTCCAGTGCCTACACCCAATGCATTCTCAATACCCAGAAAGGGCTACGTGACATTTATGTTGTCAGTGGGGAAAAGTTTCGGAGAAATAAAGTCATTAGCCCAAAGTAACACAACTTTTAGTTGGAGGCGCCAGTGTAGGAACCAAGGTCTCCAAATAGCAAGCGCTGAGTCTGGTGTTAGGAAAAAAATGTTTACACACATAACACACACTGGTACATGACAGACCAATAAAAGATTGTTGCCTCGTAAACTGCCAGCCTTACTGTCCCAGCCCACATAAGTGAAATTGCCCCACCATCAACCTCTGCTCGGCATTAGTTGATTGTGTCCCAGAGGGGTAACCTGGACCAGGGTGGGCATGTGGCATGAAAGTGAGCCAACCTATAGCACCCAAGGCATGGCAGACAGATCAGCTGTTGAAGCAGATTTTCATTCTCAAAAGTTTTACTTTAGGGAACACTAAGGGTAAAGGCAGTTAGCAGTGGTTATTGCAACCAAAGAAGGAGTCATAGGGGCCATGAGTCCCACAATACATATGGCAGGGAACATATAGCTGTATGTATGCACATACACACAGAGGGATGTGTATAGAGGACTATATATTCCCTGGTGTGTGTTCACGGTTATATGTATAGTCCTATGTGTGTGTGTAAGCATATGGCCATTAAGAGCATGAATACTGGAATCAGAAAACCTGGATTCAATCTCAAGGACAAGACCCATTAGCTCTATCATCTCTGTAAAGTTTAACGTTTCTTACCCTCAGTTTCTTCATCTGTACAATATAAACAATAATACTCAGGGTTTTTGTGAAAAGGTACATAAAGCACTTACCATAGCATCGGTTCTATACATAGAAGCTCCCAGTAAATAGTGGGTATGATTCTGCACACAGAGCTATGAGGGAGCAAACATCACAAATAAAGCTAAGAAAGCTGATCGGAGAAAGTGCAGTACATAGAACAATTGATCTGTGAGAGGTCACCACCAAGATTCAGGGCTAATTTTCCCATTCCAATTCCAGTCCTCATGTTTATTAACAACATGATAATAATTAATAACATGATAATAATCATTTTCTCTCTCTTGTCTTGATGTAATTCTCAGGATTAAGTTCAATCGTTTGCTCTATACAGAGAGGACACTACAGACTGTGTAACTATTTAAACTACGAAATAATGAAAAGACTGGGTAAATGGGTCACAACTGTGCCTAGAAGACAGCAGACCACCAGGAAAACTGTCTCCTGGTCTTCTTGCTTGTGATTGAGCCAGACACCTGTTCGCTAGTTGTTTCCTGTTCATAAGCCCAGCACTTAACATGCGGCCTTGTACTTGTCCATTCGTAATTCCCTTTTCTCCATCTTAATGTTTCTCAAAGTGTGGTCTACAATCACCTACAGTAGAAGCACCTGTCAGGAACTCTGTCTGCTTTATTCACTGCCACAGAATCTAGCACAATTCCAGACCAGAGTAGAGACCCAAAAGAGTGTTAGACCAAAGAACTGAGAAAAGGATGATCCTTGAAGCATTAATTCTGTGCAAAGAGGAACATATGAATTTTATTCTGTCACTGCTAAAGAAGAACAGACCAAGATTTCTCATCAAATTTCAAATTGGCAGCTCTTCCATATATATTTTGGGGGGGAGGGGGGCGAGTATAAATCCACTTTAGTGATAGACCACCTCATGGCACTTTTTGGGCAAGATTCTCACCACA